ATCTGTAGCCTTCAATATTCAAAGAAAATGGACTTTCGTCGCCAAAGAAATTACGAAAATGCCGTCCGAAAATAAATTGGCCCAAATTGATGTTTAACGGACTTATCATCCGTGGAGAATAGGATCAATAGAATTCATTATCGATGAATAATAGCCTCGGCCTGATTACGTGATCTGTAGCCTCCAGAATCGAAAGAAAATGGCATTTCGGATAAATCGCACGAAATCTGTGATGGTACCCCTTTGGAATCTGCCAATAATTGACCAGGAATAAATCCGCCCAAATCGGTGCTTAATGTACTCAATCATCGTTGGAGAATAGCCTCAGGCCGAATCCGTAATATGTAGCCTTCAATATTCAAAGAAAATGGACTTTCGTCGCCCAAGAAATTACGAAAATGCCATCCGAAAATAAAAGTGCCCAAATCGATGCTTAACGGACTTATCATAAGCGGATAATAGGATCAATAAATTCATTATCGGGGGATAATAGCCTCGGATTGATTCCGTGATCTGTAGCCTCCAGAATTGAATGAAAATGGCATTTCGAAAATGCATCCAAAAATAAAGTGGCCCAAATCGATGCTTAACGGACTTATCATCTGTGTAGAATAGGATCAATAGACTTCATTATCGGTGTATAATAGCCTCGGCCTGACTCCGTGATCTGTAGCCTCCAGAATTGAAAGAAAATGGCATTTCGGATAAATTGTGTGAAATCTGTGATGGTACCCCTTTGGAATCTGCCAAAAATTGACCCGAAATAAATCCGCCCAAATCGATGCTTAATGGATCAATCATCGTTGGAAAATAGCCTTAGGCCGAATCCATGATCTGTATCGGTGGATAATAGCCTCGGCCTTATTCCGTGATCTGTAGCCTCCAGAATCGAAAGAAAATGGCATTTCGGATAAATCGCCCGAAATCGGAGCTTAATGGACTCAATCATCGTTGGAGAATAGCCTCAGAGCGAATCCAGGATCTGTAGCCTTCGATATTCAAAGAAAATGGACTTTCGTCGCCCAAGAAATTACGAAAATGCCATTCGAAAATAAATTGGCCCAATTCGATGCTTAACGTACTTATCATTCGTGGAGAATAGGATCAATAGATTTCATTATCTGTGGATAATAGCCTCGGCCTGATTCCGTGATCTGTAACGTCCAGAATCGAAAGAAAATGGCATTTTGGATAAATCGCCCGATATCTGTGATGGTACCCCTTTTGAATCTGCAAAAAATTTACCCGGAATAAATCCGCCCAAATCGGTGCTTAATTGACTCAATCATCGTTGGAAAATAGCCTCAGGACGAATCCATGATCTGTAGCCTTCAATATTCAAACAAAATGGACTTTCGTCGCCCAAGAAATTACGAAAATGCCATCCAAAAATAAATTGGCCCACATCGATGCTTAACGGACTTATCTTGCGTGGAGAATAGGATCAATAGACTTCATTATCGGTGGATAATAGCATCGGCCTTATTCCGTGATATGTAGCCTCCAGAATCTAAAGAAAATGGCATTTCGGATAAATCGCCCGAAATCGGAGCTTAATGGTCCCAATCATCGCTGGAGAATAGCCTCAGAACGAATCCGTGGACTTTCGTCGCCCAAGAAATTACGAAAATGCCATCCGAAAATAAATTGTCCCTAATCGATGCTTAACGGACTTATCATCCGTGGAGAATAGGATCAATAGACTTCATTATCGGTGGATAATAGCCTCGGCCTGATTCCGTGATCTGTAGCCTCCAGAATAGAAAGAAAATGGCATTTCGGATAAATCGCCCGCCATCTGTGATGGTACCCCTTTGGAATCTGCCAAAAATTGACCCGGAATAAATCCGCCCAAATCGGTGCTTAATGGACTCAATCATCGTTGGAGAATAGCCTCAGGACGAATCCGTGATCTGTAGCCTTCAATATTCAAAGAAAATGGACTTTCGTCGCCTAAGAAATTACGAAAATGCCATCCGAAAATAAATTGGCCCAAATCGATGCTTAATGGACTTATCATCCGTGGAGAATAGGATCAATAGACTTCATTATCGGTGGATAATAGCCTCGGCCTTATTCCGTGATCTGTAGCCTCCAGAATCGAAAGAAAATGGCATTTCGGATAAATCGCCCGAAATCGGAGCTTAATGGACCCAATCATCGTTGGAGAATAGCCTCAGAGCGAATCCACGATCTGTAGCCTTCGATATTCAAAGAAAATGGACTTTCGTCGCCCAAGAAATTACGAAAATGCCATCCGAAAATAAATTCGCCCAAATCGAAGCTTAACGTACTTATCATTCGTGGAGAATAGGATAAATAGATTTCATTATCTGTGGATAATAGCCTCGGCCTGATTCCGTGATATGTAACGTCCAGAATCGAAAGAAAATGGCATTTCGGATAAATCGCCCGATATCTGTGATGGTACCCCTTTTGAATCTGCAAAAAATTTACCGGGAATAAATCCCCCCAAATCGGTGCTTAATGGACTCAATCATCGTTGGAAAATAGGCTCAGGAAAAATCCATGATCTGTAGCCTTAAATATTCAAACAAAATGGACTTTCGTCGCCCAAGAAATTACGAAAATGCCATCCAAAAATAAATTGGCCCACATCGATGCTTAACGGACTTATCTTGCGTGGAGAATAGGATCAATAGACTTTATTATCGGTGGATAATAGCTTCGGCCTTATTCCGTGATCTGTAGCCTCCATAATCGAAAGAAAATGGCATTTCGGATAAATCGCCCGAAATCTGTGATGGTACCCCTTTAGAATCTACCAAAAATTGACCCAGAATAAATCCGCCCAAATCGGAGCTTAATGGACTCAATCATCGTTGGAGAATAGCCTCAGGGCGAATCCGTGATCTGTAGCCTTCAATATTCAAAGAAAATGGACTTTCGTTGCCCAAGAAATTACGAAAATGCCATCCGAAAACAAATTGGCCCAAATTGATGCTTAACAGACTTATCATCCGTGGAGAATAAGATCAATAGACTTCATTATCGGTGGATAATAGCCTCGGCCTAATTCCGTGATCTGTAGCCTCCATAATCGAAAGAAAATGGCATTTCGGATAAATCGCTCGAAATATTTGATGGTACCCCTTTGGAATCTGACAAGAATTGACCCGGAATAAATCCGCCCAAATCGGTGCTTAATGCACTCAATCATCGTTGGAGAATAGCCTCAGGCTGAATCTGTGATCTGTAGCCTTCGATATTCAAAGAAAATGGACTTTCGTCGCCCAAGAAATTTCCCAAATGCCATCCGAAAATAAATTGGCCCAAATCGTTGCTTAACGGACTTATCATCAGTGGAGAATAGGATCAATAGACTTCATTATCGGTGGATAATAGCATCGGCCTGATTCCGTGATCAGTGGCCTCAGAAATCGAAAGAGAATGACATTTCGGATAAATCGTCCGAAATCAATGATGGTACCCCTTTGGAATATGCAAACAATTGACCCGGAATAAATCCGCCCAAATCGGTGCTTAATAAACTCAATCATCGTTGGAGAATAGCCTTAGGCCGAATCCGTGATTCGTACCCTTCAATATTCAAAGAAAATGGACTTTCATCGCACAGGAAATTACGAAAATGCCATCCGAAAATAAATTGGCCCAAATCGATGCTTAACGAACTTATCATCCGTGGAGAATATGATCAATAGACTTCATTATCGGTGGATAATAGCATCGGCCTGATTTAGTGAGATGTGGCCTCCAAAATCGAAAGAAAATGGCATTTCGGATAAATCGTCCGAAATCTGTGATGGTACCCCTTTGGAATCTGCCGAAAATTGAACCGGAATAAATCCGCCCAAATCGGTGCTTAATGGACTAAATCATCGTTGGAGAATAGCCTCAGGCCGAATCCGTGATCTGCAGCCTTCAATATTCAAAGAAAATGGACTTTCGTCGCCCAAGAAATTACGAAAATGCCATCCGGAAATAAATTGGCCCAAATCGATGCTTAATGGACTTATCATCCATGGAGAATAGGATCAATAGACTTCATTATCGGTGGATAATAGCCTCGGCCTGATTCCGTGATCTGTAGCCTCCAGAATCGAAAGAAAATGGCATTTCGGATAAATCGCCCGAAATCGGAGGTTAATGGACTCAATCATCGTTGGAGAATAGCCTCAGAGCGAATCCGTGATCTGTAGCCTTCGATATTCAAAGAAAATGGACTTTCGTCGCCCAAGAAATTACGAAAATGTCATACGAAAATAAATTGGCCCAAATCGATGCTTAACGTACTTATCATTCGTGGAGAATAGGATCAATAGACTTCATTATCGGTGGATAATAGCCTCGGCCTGATTCCGTGATCTGTAACCTCCAGAATCGAAAGAAAATGGCATTTCGGATAAATCACCCGAAATCTGTGATGGTACCCCTTTGGAATCTGCCAAAAATTGACGCGGAATAAATCCGCCCAAATCGGTGCTTAATGGACTCAATCATCGTTGGAGAATAGCCTCAAGCCGAATCTGTGATCTGTAGCCTTCAATATCCAAAGAAAATGGACTTTCGTCGCCCAAGAAATTACGAAAATGCCATCCGAAAATAAAATTGCCCAAATCGATGCTTAACGAACTTATCATAAGTGGAGAATAGGATTAATAGAATTCATTATCGGTGGATAATAGCCTCGGACTGATTCTGTGATCTGTATCCTCCAGAATCGAAAGAAAATGGCATTTTGGGTAAATCGCCCGAAATCTGTGATGGTACCCCTTTGGAATTTGCCAAAAATTGATCCGGAATAAATCCGCCCAAATCGGTTCTTAATGGACTCAATCATCATTGGAAAATAGCCTCAGGGCGAATCCGTGATCTGTAGTCTTCAATATTCAAAGAAAATGGACTTTCGTCGCCCAAGAAATTACGAAAATGCCATCCAAAAATAAATTGGCCCAAATCGATGCTTAACGGACTTATCTTGCGTGGAGAATAGGATCAATAGACTTCATTATCGGTGGATTATAGCCTCGGCCTTATTTCGTGATCTGTAGCCTCCAGAATCGAAAGAAAATGGCATTTAGGATAAATCGCGTGAAATCTGTGATGGTACCCCTTTGTAATCTGCCAAAAATTGACCCAAAATAAATCCGCCCAAATCGGTGCTTAATGGACTCAATCATCATTGGAGAATAGCCTCAGGTCGAATTCGTGATCTGTAGCCTTCAATATTCAAAGAAAATGGACTTTCGTCACCCAAGAAATTACGAAAATGCCATCCGAAAATAAATTGGCCCAAATCGATGCTTAACGGACTTATCTTGCGTGGAGAATAGGATCGATAGACTTCATTATCGGTGGATAATAGCTTCGGCCTTATTCCGTGATCTGTAGCCTCCATAATCGAAAGAAAATGGCATTTCAGATAAATCGTCCGAAATCTGTGATGGTACCCCTTTAGAATCTACAAATAATTGACCCGGAATAAATCCGCCCAAATCGGAGCTTAATGGACTCAATCATCGTTGGAGAATAGCCTCAGGGCGAATCCGTGATCTGTAGCCTTCAATATTCAAAGAAAATGGACTTTCGTCGCCCAAGAAATTACGAAAATGCCATCCGAAAATAAATTGGCCCAAATCGATGATTAACGGACTTATCATCCGTGGAGAATAGAATCAATAGACTTCATTATCGGTAGATAATAGCCTCGGCCTGATTACGGGATCTGTAGCCTCAAGAATTGAAAGAAAATGGCATTTCAGATAAATCGCCCGAAATCTGTGATGGTACCCCTTTAGAATCTGCGTACAATTGACTCGGAATAAATCCGCCTAAATCGGTGCTTAATGGACTCAATCATCGTTGGAAAACAGCCTCAGGGCGAATCCGTGATCTTTACCCTTCAATATTCAAAGAAAATGGACTTTCGTTGCCCAAGAAATTACGAAAATGTCATCCGAAAACAAATTGGCCCAAATTGATGCTAAACGGACATATCATCCGCGGAGAATAGGATCAATAGACTTCATTATCGGTGGATAATAGCCTCGGCCTTATTCCGTGGTCTGTAGCCTCCAGAATCGAAAGAAAATGGCATTTTGGATAAATTGCGTGAAATCTGTGATGGTACCCCTTTGGAATCTGCCAAAAATTGACCCGAAATAAATCCGCCCAAATCGGTGCTTAATGGACTCAATCATCGTTGGAGAATAGCCTCAGGTCGAATCCGTGATGTGTAGCCTGCAATATACAAAGAAAATGGACTTTCGTCGACCAAGAAATTACGAAAATGCCATCCAAAAATAAAGTGGCCCAAATCGATGCTTAACAGACTTATCATCCGTGGAGAATAAGATCAATAGACTTCATTATCGGTGGATAATAGCATCGGCCTGATTCCGTGATCTGTGGCCTCCAAAATCGAAAGAAAATGGCATTTCGGATAAATCGTCCGAAATCTGTGATGGTACCCCTTTGGAATATGCCAACAATTGACCCGGAATAAATCCGCCCAAATTGGTGCTTAATAAACTCAATCATCGTTGGAGAATAGCCTTAGGCCGAATCCGTGATCTGTAGTCTTCAATATTAAAAGAAAATAGACTTTCGTCGCCCAAGAAATTACGAAAATGCCATCCGAAAATAAATTTTCCCAAATTGATGCTTAAACGGATTTATCATCCGTGGAGAATAGGATCAATAGACTTCATTATCGGTGGATAATAGCCTCGGACTGATTCCGTGATCTGTAGCCTCCAGAATCGAAAGAAAATGGCATTTCGGATAAATTGCCTGAAATCTATGATGGTACCCCTTTGGAATCTGCCAACAACTGACCCGAAATAAATCCGCCCAAATCGGTGCTTAATGGACTCAATCATCTTTGGAGAATAGCCTCAGGGCGATCCGTGATCTGTAGCATTCAATATTCAAAGAAAATGTACTTTCGTCGCCCAAGAAATTACGAAAATGCCATCCGAAAATAAATTGGGCCAAATCGATACTTAACGGACTTATCATCCGAGGAGAATAGGATCAATAGACTTCATTATCGGTGGATAATAGCCTCGGCCTGATTCCGTGATCTGTAGCCTCTTGAATCGAAAGAAAATGGCATTTCGGATAAATAGCCCGAAATCTATGATTATACCCCTGTGGAATCTGCCAACAACTGACCCAAAATAAATCCGCCCAAATCGGTGCTTAATGGTCTCAATCATCTTTGGAGAATAGCCTCAGGGCGAATACGTGATTTGTAGCCTTCAATATTCAAAGAAAATGGACTTTCGTCGACCAAGAAATTACGAAAAGTGCCATCCGAAAATAAATTGGGCCAAATCGATACTTAACGGACTTATCATCCGTGGAGAAAAGGATCAATAGACTTCATTATCGGTGGATAATAGCCTCGGCCTGATTCCGTGTTCTATAGCCTCCAGAATCGAAAGAAAATGGCATTTCAGATAAATCGCCCGAAATCTGTGATGGTACACCACTTTGGAATCTGCCAAAAATTGACCCGAAATAAATCCGCCCAAATCGGTGCTTAATGGATTCAATCATCATTGGAGAATAGCCTCAGGTCGAATCCGTGATCTGTAGCCTTCAATATTCAAAGAAAATGGACTTTCGTCACCCATGAAATTGCGAAAATGCCATCCGAAAATAAATTGGCCCAAATCGATGCTTAACGGACTTATCATCCGTGGAGAATAGGATCAATAGACTTCATTATCAGTGGATAATAGCCTCGGCCTGATTCCGTGATCCGTAGCCTCCATAATCGATAGAAAATGGCATTTCGGATAAATCGCTCGAAATCTTTGATGGTACCCCTTTGGAATCTGCCAAGAATTGACCCGGAATAAATCCGCCCAAATTGGTGCTTAATGCACTCAATCATCGTTGGAGAATAGCCTCAGGTCGAATCCGTGATCTGTAGCCTTCAATATTTAAATAAAATGGACTTTCGTCGCCCAGGAAATTACGACGATGCCATCCGAAAATAAATTGGCCCAAATCAATGCTTCACGGACTTTTCATCCGTGGAGAATAGGATCAATAGACTTCATTGTCTGTGGATAACAGCCTCGACATGATTCCGTGATCTGTAGCCTCCAGAATCGAAAGAAAATGGCATTTCGGATAAATCACAAGAAATCTGTGTTGGTACCCCTTTGGAATCTGCCAAAAAATGACCCGGAATAAATCGGCCCAACTCGGTGCTTAATGGACTCAATTATCGTTGGACAATAGCCTCAGGCCGAATCCGTGATCTGTAGCCTTCAATATTCAAAGTAAATGGACTTTCGTCGCCCAAGAAATTACGAAAATGCCATCTGAAAATAAATTGGCCCAAATCGATGCTTAACGGACTTATCTTCTGTGTAGAATAGGATCAATAGACTTCATTATCGGTGGATAATAGCCTCGGCCTGACTCCGTGATCTGTAGCCTCCAGAATCGAAAGAAAATGGCATTTCGGATAAATCGCCCGATATCTGTGATGGTACCCCTTTGGAATCTGCCAATAATTGACACGGAATAAATGCGCCCAAATCGGTGCTTAATGGACTCAATCATCGTTGGAGAATAGCCTCAGGCCGAATCCGTGATCTGTAGCCTTCAATATTCAAAGAAAATGTACTTTCGTCGCCCAAGAAATTACAAAAATGCCATTCGAAAATAAATTGGACCAAATCGATGCTTAACGGACTTATCATCCGTGGAGAATAAGATCAATAGACTTCATTATCGGTGGATAATAGCCTCGACCTGATTCCGGGATTTGTAGCTTCCAGAATCGAAAGAAAATGGCATTTCAGATAAATCGCCCGAAATCTGTGATGGTACCCCTTTGGAATCTGCCATAAATTGACCTGGAATAAATCAGCCCAAATCGGTGCTTAATGGACTCAATCATCGTTTGAGAATGTCCGCAAGCCGAATTCGTGATCTGTAGCCTTCAATATTCAAAGAAACTGGACTTTCGTCGCCCAAGAAATTACGAAAATGTCATCCAAAAATAAATTGGCAAAAATCGATGCTTAACGGACTTATCATCCGCGGAGAATAGGATCAATAGACTTCATTATCTGTGGATAATAGCCTCGGCCTGATTCCGTGATCTGTAGCCACCAGAATCGAAAGAAAATGGCATTTCGGATAAATAAACCGAAATATTTGATGGTACCCCTTTGAAATCTGCGAAAAATTGACCCGGAATAAATCCAACCAAATCGTTGCTTAATGGACTCAATCATCGTTGGAGAATAGCCACAGGCCGAATCTGTGATCTATAGCCTTCAATATTCAAAGAAAATGGACTTTCGTCGCCCAAGAAATTACGAAAATGTCATCCGAAAATAAATTGGCACAAATCGATGCTTAACGGACTTATCATCCGTGGAGAATAGGATCAATAGACTTCATTATCGGTGGATAATAGCCTCGGACTGATTCCATGATCAGTAGCCTCCAGAATCGAGAGAAAATGGCATTTCGGATAAATCGCCCGAAATCTGAGATGGTACCCCTTTGGAATCTGCCAAAAATTAACCAGGAATTAATCCGCCCAAATAGGTGCTTAATGGACTCAATCATCGTTGGATAATAGCCACAGGCCGAATCCGTGATCTGTTGCCTTCAATATTCAAAGAAAATGGACTTTCGTCGCCCAAGAAATTACGAAAATGTCATCCGAAAATAAATTGCCACAAATCGATGCTTAACGGACTTATCATCCGTGGAGAGTAGGATCAATAGACTTCATTATCGCTGGATAATAGCCTCGCACAGATCTGTGATTAGTAGCCTCCAGAATCGAAAGAAAATGGCATTTCGGATAAATCGGCCGAAATCTGTGATGGTACCCCTTTTGAATCTGCCAAAAATTGATCCGGAATAAATCCGCCCAAATCGGTGCTTAATGGACTCAATCATCGTTGGAGAATAGCCTCAGGCAGAATCCGTGATCTGTAGCCTTCATATTCAAAGAAAATGGACTTTCGTCGCCCAAGAAATTACGAAAATGCCATCCGAAAATAAATTAGCCCAAATCGATGATTAACGGGCTTATCATCCGTGGAGAATAGGATCAATAGACTTCATTATCGGTGGATAATAGCCTCGTCCTGATTCTGTGATCTGTAGCCTACAGAATTGAAAGAAAATGGCATTTGGGATAAATAAACCGAAATATTTGATGGTACCCCTTTGGAATCTGCCAAAAATTGACCCGGAATAAATCCAACCAAATCGGTGCTTAATGGACTCAATCATCGTTGGAGAATAGCCTCAGGCCGAACCCGTGATCTGTAGCCTTCAATATTCAAAGAAAATGGACTTTCGTCGCCCAAGAAATTACGAAAGTGCCATCCGAAAATTAATTGGCCCGAATCGAAGCTTAACGGAATTATCATCCGTGGAGAATAGGATCAATAGACTTCATTATCGGTGGATAATAGCCTCGGCCTGATTCCGTGATCTGTACCCTCCAGAATCAAAAGAAAATGGCATTTCGGATAAATCGCCAAAATATGTGATGATACCTCTCAGGAATCTGCCAAAAATTGACCCGAAATAAATCTGTACAAATCGGTGCTAAATGGACTCAATCATCGTTGGAGAATAGCCACAGGCCGTATCCGTGATCTGTAGCCTTCAATATACAAAGAAAATGGACTTTCGTCACCCAAGAAATTACGAAAATGCCATTCGAAAATAAATAGGCCAAAATCGATGCTGAACGGACTTATCATCTGTGGAGAATAGGATCAATAGACTTCATTATCGGTGGATAATAGCCTCGACCTGATTCCGGGATCTGTTGCTTCCAGAATCGAAAGAAAATGGCATTTCGGATAAATCGCCCGAAATCTGTGATGGTACCCCCTTTGAAATCTGCCATAAATTGACACGGAACAAATTCGCCCAAATCGGTTCTTGATGGACTCAATCATCGTTGGAGAATAGCCACAGGCCGAATCCATGATCTGTAGCCTTCAATATTCAAAGAAAATAGAGTTTCGTCGCCCAAGAAATTACGAAAATGTCATCCAAAAATAAATTGGCCCAATTCGATGTTTAACGGACTTATCATCCGTGGAGAATAGGATCAATAGACTTCATTATCGCTGGATAATAGCCTCGCACAGATCTGTGATTAGTAGCCTCCAGAATCGAAAGAAAATGGCATTTCGGATAAATCGGCCGAAATCTGTGATAGTACCCCTTTTGAATCTGCCAAAAATTGATCCGGAATAAATCCGCCCAAATCGGTGCTTAATGGACTCAATCATCGTTGGAGAATAGCCTCAGGCAGAATCCGTGATCTGTAGCCTTCATATTCAAAGAAAATGGACTTTCGTCGCCCAAGAAATTACGAAAATGCCATCCGAAAATAAATTGGCCCAAATCGATGATTAACGGGCTTATCATCCGTGGAGAATAGGATCAATAGACTTCATTATCGGTGGATAATAGCCTCGTCCTGATTCTGTGATCTGTAGCCTACAGAATTGAAAGAAAATTGCATTTGGGATAAATAAACCGAAATATTTGATGGTACCCCTTTGGAATCTGCCAAAAATTGACCCGGAAAAAATCCAACCAAATCGGTGCTTAATGGACTCAATCATCGTTGGAGAATAGCCTCAGGCCGAACCCGTGATCTGTAGCCTTCAATATTCAAAGAAAATGGACTTTCGTCGCCCAAGAAATTACGAAAGTGCCATCCGAAAATTAATTGGCCCGAATCGAAGCTTAACGGAATTATCATCCGTGGAGAATAGGATCAATAGACTTCATTATCGGTGGATAATAGCCTCGGCCTGATTCCGTGATCTGTACCCTCCAGAATCAAAAGAAAATGGCATTTCGGATAAATCGCCAAAATATGTGATGATACCTCTCAGGAATCTGCCAAAAATTGACCCGAAATAAATCTGTCCAAATCGGTGCTAAATGGACTCAATCATCGTTGGAGAATAGCCACAGGCCGTATCCGTGATCTGTAGCCTTCAATATACAAAGAAAATGGACTTTCGTCGCCCAAGAAATTACGAAAATGCCATTCAAAAATAAATAGGCCAAAATCGATGCTGAACGGACTTATCATCTGTGGAGAATAGGATCAATAGACTTCATTATCGGTGGATAATAGCCTCGACCTGATTCCGGGATCTGTTGCTTCCAGAATCGAAAGAAAATGGCATTTCGGATAAATCGCCCGAAATCTGTGATGGTACCCCCTTTGGAATCTGCCATAAATTGACACGGAACAAATTCTCCCAAATCGGTGCTTGATGGACTCAATCATCGTTGGAGAATAGCCACAGGCCGAATCCATGATCTGTAGCCTTCAATATTCAAAGAAAATAGAGTTTCGTCGCCCAAGAAATTACGAAAATGTCATCCAAAAATAAATTGGCCCAATTCGATGTTTAACGGACTTATCATCCGTGGAGAATAGGATCAATAGACTTCATTATTGCTGGATAATAGCCTCGCACAGATCTGTGATTAGTAGCCTCCAGAATCGAAAGAAAATGGCATTTCGGATAAATCGGCCGAAATCTGTGATGGTACCCCTTTTGAATCTGCCAAAAATTGATCCGGAATAAATCCGCCCAAATTGGTGCTTAATGGACTCAATCATCGTTGGAGAATAGCCTCAGGCAGAATCCGTGATCTGTAGCCTTCATATTCAAAGAAAATGGACTTTCGTCGCCCAAGAAATTACGAAAATGCCATCCGAAAATAAATTGGCCCAAATCGATGATTAACGGGCTTATCATCCGTGGAGAATAGGATCAATAGACTTCATTATCGGTGGATAATAGCCTCGTCCTGATTCTGTGATCTGTAGCCTACAGAATTGAATGAAAATGGCATTTGGGATAAATAAACCGAAATATTTGATGGTACCCCTTTGGAATCTGCCAAAAATTGACCCGGAATAAATCCAACCAAATCGGTGCTTAATGGACTCAATCATCGTTGGAGAATAGCCTCAGGCCGAACCCGTGATCTGTAGCCTTCAATATTCAAAGAAAATGGACTTTCGTCGCCCAAGAAATTACGAAAGTGCCATCCGAAAATTAATTGGCCCGAATCGAAGCTTAACGGAATTATCATCCGTGGAGAATAGGATCAATAGACTTCATTATCGGTGGATAATAGCCTCGGCCTGATTCCGTGATCTGTACCCTCCAGAATCAAAAGAAAATGGCATTTCGGATAAATCGCCAAAATATGTGATGATACCTCTCAGGAATCTGCCAAAAATTGACCCGAAATAAATCTGTCCAAATCGGTGCTAAATGGACTCAATCATCGTTGGAGAATAGCCACAGGCCGTATCCGTGATCTGTAGCCTTCAATATACAAAGAAAATGGACTTTCGTCGCCCAAGAAATTACGAAAATGCCATTCGAAAATAAATAGGCCAAAATCGATGCTGAACGGACTTATCATCTGTGGAGAATAGGATCAATAGACTTCATTATCGGTGGATAATAGCCTCGACCTGATTCCGGGATCTGTTGCTTCCAGAATCGAAAGAAAATGGCATTTCGGATAAATCGCCAGAAATCTGTGATGGTACCCCCTTTGGAATCTGCCATAAATTGACACGGAACAAATTCGCCCAAATCGGTGCTTGATGGACTCAATCATCGTTGGAGAATAGCCACAGGCTGAATCCATGATCTGTAGCCTTCAATATTCAAAGAAAATAGAGTTTCGACGCACAAGAAATTACGAAAATGTCATCCAAAAATAAATTGGCCCAATTCGATGCTTAACGGACTTATCATCCGTGGAGAATAGGATCAATAGACTTCATAATCGGTGGATAATAGCCTCGACCTGATTCCGGGATCTGTAGCTTCCAGAATCGAAAGAAAATGGCATTTCAGATAAATCGCCCGAAATCTGTGATGGTACCCCTTTGGAATCGGCCATAAATTGACCCGGAATAAATCCGCCCAAATCGGTACTAAATGGACTCAATCATCGTTGGAGAATAGCCTCAGGCAGAATCCGTTATTTGTAGCCTTCATATTCAAATAAAATGGACTTTCGTCGCACAAGAAATTACGAAAATGCGATCCGAAAATAAATTGGCCCAAATCGATGCTTAACGGGCTTATCATCCGTGGAGAATAGGATCAATAGACTTCATTATCGGTAGATAATAGCCTCGACCTGATTCCGTGATCTGTATCTTCCAGAATCGAAAGAAAATGGCATTTCGGATAAATCGCCCGAAATCTGTGATGGTACCCCTTTAGAATCTGCCAAAAATTAACCAGGAATAAATCCGCCCAAATCGGTGCTTAATGGACTCAATCATCGTTGGAGAATAACCTCAGGCCGAATCCGTGATATGTAGCCTTCAATATTCAAAAACAATGGACTTTCGTCGCCCAAGAAATTAAGAAAGTACCATCCGAAAATTAATTGGCCCGAATCGAAGCTTAACGGACTTATCATCCGTGGAGAATAGGATCAATAGACTTCATTATCGGTGGATAATAGCCTCGGTCTGATTCCGTGACTGCAACCTCCTGAATCGAAAGAAAATGGCATTTCAGATAAATCGCCCGAAATCTGTGATGGTACCCCTTTGGAATCTGCCAAAAATTGACCCGGAATAAATCGGCCCAACTCGGTGCTTAATGGACTCAATTATCGTTGGAGAATAGCCTCAGGCCGAATCCGTGATCTGTATCCTTCAATATTCAAAGTAAATGGACTTTCGTCGCCCAAGAAATTATGAAAATGCCATCTGAAAATAAATTGGCCCAAATCGATGCTTAACGGACTTATCATCTGTGTAGAATAGGATCAATAGACTTCATTATCGGTGGATAATAGCCTCGGCCTGACTCTGTGATCTGTAGCGTCCAGAATCGAAAGAAAATGGCATTTCGGATAAATCGCCCGATATCTGTGATGGTACCCCTTTGGAATCTGCCAATAATTGACACGGAATAAATGCGCCCAAATCGGTGCTTAATGGACTCAATCATCGTTGGAGAATAGCATCAGGCCGAATCCGTGATCTGTAGCCTTCAATATTCAAAGAAAATGGACTTTCGTCGACCAAGAAATTACGAAAATGTCATCCGAAAATAAATTGGTAAAAATCGATGCTTAACGGACTTATCATCCGTGGAGAATAGGATCAATAGACTTCATTATCTGTGGGTAATAGCCTCGGCCTGATTCCGTGATCTGTAGCCACCCGAATCGAAAGAAAATGGCATTTCGGATAAATCTCCTGAAATCTGTGATGGTACTCCTTTGGAATCTGCCAAAAATTGACCAGGAATAAATCAGCCCAAATCGGTGCTTAATGGACTCAATCATCGTTGGTAAATAGCCTCAGGCCGAATCCGTGATCTGTAGCCTTCAATATTCAAAGAAAATGGACTTTCGTCACCCAAGAAATTATGAAAATGACATCGAAAATAAATTTGCCCAAATCTATGCTTAACAGACTTATCATCCGTGGAGAATAGGATCAATAGACTTCATTATTGGTGGATAATAGCCTCGGCCTGATTCCGTGATCTTTAGCCTCCAGAATCGAAAGAAAATTGTATTTCGGATAAATCTCCCGAAATCTGTGATGGTACCCATTTGGAATCTGCCAAAAATTGACCCGGAATAAATCCAACCAAATCGGTGCTTAATGGACTCAATCATCGTTGGAGAATAGCCTCAGGCCGAACCCGTGATCTGTAGCCTTCAATATTCAAAGAAAATGGACTTTCGTCGCCCAAGAAATTACGAAAGTGCCATCCGAAAATTAATTGGCCCGAATCGAAGCTTAACGGAATTATCATCCGTGGAGAATAGGATCAATAGACTTCATTATCGGTGGATAATAGCCTCGGCCTGATTCCGTGATCTGTACCCTCCAGAATCAAAAGAAAATGGCATTTCGGATAAATCGCCCGAAATATGTGATGGTACCCCTTTGGAATCTACAAAAAATAGAGCCGGAATAAATCCGTCCAAATCGGTGCTTAATGGACTCAATCATCATTGGAGAATAGCTTCTGGCCGAATCCGTGATCTGTAGCCTTCAATATTCAGAGAAAATGGACTTTCGTCGCCCAAGAAATTACAAAAATGCCATCCGAAAATAAATTGGCCCAAATCGATGCTTAACGGACTTATCATCCATGGAGAATAGGATCAATAGACTTCATTATCGGTGGATAATAGCCTCGGCCTGATTCCGTGATCTGTAGCCTCCAGAATCGAAAGAAAATGGTATTTCGGATAAACCGCCCGAAATCTGTGATGGTACCCCTTTGGAATCTGCCAAAAATTGACCCGGAATAAATCTGCCCAAATCGGTGCTTAATGGACTCAATCATCGTTGGAGAATAGCGTCAGGCCGAATCCGTGATCTATAGCCTTCAATATTCAAAGAAAATGGACTTTCATCGCCCAAGAAATTACGAAAATGCAATTCAAAAATAAATTGGCCCAAATCGAATGCTTAACGGACTTATCATCCGTGGAGAATAGGATCAATAGACTTCATTATCGGTGGATAATAGCCTCGACCTGATTCCGGGATCTGTAGCTTCCAGAATCAAAAGAAAATGGCATTTCGGATAAATCGCCCGAAATCTATGATGGTACCCCTTTGGAATCTGCCATAAATTGACCCGGAATAAATCAGCCCAAATCGGTGTTTAATGGACTCAATCATCGTTGGAGAATATCCGCAGGCCGAATCCGTGATCTGTAGCCTTCAATATTCAAAGAAAATGGACTTTCGTCGCCCAAGAAATTACAAAAATGACATCCGAAAATAAATTGGCCCAAATCGATGCTTAACGGACTTATCATCCGTGGAGAATAGGATCATTAGACTTCATTATCTGTGGATAATAACCTCGTCCTGATTCCGTGATATGTAGCCTCCAGAATCAAAAGAAAATGGCATTTGGGATAAATCGCCCGAAATATGTGATGGTACCGCTTTGGAATCTGCCAAAAATTGAGCCGGAATAAATCTGCCCAAATCGGTGCTTAATGGACTTAATCATCGTTGGAGAATAGCCTCAGGCCGAATCCGTGATCTGTAGCCTTCAATATTCAAAGAAAATGGACTTTCGTCGCCCAAGAAATTACGAAAGAGCCATTCGAAAATTAATTGGCCCGAATCGAAGCTTAACGGACTTATCATCCGTTGAGAATAGGATCAATAGACTTCATTATCGGTGGATAATAGCCTCGGCCTGATTCCGTGATCTGTAACCTCCAGAATCGAAAGAAAATGGCATTTCGGATAAATCGCAAAAATATGTGATGGTACCCTTTTTGGAATCTACCAAAAATTGACCCGGAATAAATCTGCCCAAATCGGTGCTTAATGGACTCAATCATCGTTGGAGAATAGCGTCAGGCCGAATCCGTGATCTGTAGCCTTCAATATTCAAAGAAAATGGACTTTCCTCGCCCAAGAAATTACGAAAATGCAATTCAAAAATAAATTGGCCCAAATCGATGCTTAACGGACTTATCATCCGTGGAGAATAGGATCAATAGACTTCATAATCGGTGGATAATAGCCTCGGCCTGATTCCGTGATCTGTAGCCTCCAGAATCGAAAGAAAATGGCATTTCGGATAAATCGCCCAAAATCTGTGATGGTACCCCTTTGAAATCATCGTTGGAGAATAGCCTCAGGCCGAATCCGTAATCTGTAGCCTTCAATATTCAAAGAAAATGGACTTTCGTCGCCCAAGAAATTACGAAAATGTCATCCGAAAATAAATTGGCACAAATCGATGCTTAACGGACTTATCATCCGTGGAGAATAGGATCTTTAGACTTCATTATCGGTGGATAATAGCCTTGGACTAATTCCGTGATCTGTAGCCTCCAGAATCGAAAGAAAATGGCATTTCGGATAAATTGCCCGAAATCTGTGATGGTACCCCTCAGGAATCTGCCAAAAATTGACCCAGAATAAATCCGCCCAAATCGGTGCTTAATGGACTCAATCATCGTTGGAGAATAGCCTCAGACAGAATCCGTTATTTGTAGCCTTCATATTCAAAGAAAATGGACTTTCGTCGCCCAAGAAATTACGAAAATGCCATCCGAAAATAAATTGGCCCAAATCGATGCTTAACGGGCTTATTTTCCGTGGAGAATAGGATCAATAGACTTCATTATCGGTGGATAATAGCCTCGACCTGATTCTGTGATCTGTATCTTCCAGAATCGAAAGAAAATGGCAATTCGGATAAATCGCCCGAAATCTGTGTGGTACCCCTTTGGAATCTGCCAAAAATTAACCAGGAATAAATCCTCCCAAATCGGTGCTTAATGGACTCAATCATCGTTGGAGAATAGCCACAGGCCATATCCGTGATCTGTAGCCTTCAATATTCAAAGAAAATGGACTTTCGTCGCCCAAGAAATTACGTAAATGTCATCCGAAAATAAATTGGCACAAATCGATGCTTAACGGACTTATCATCCGTGGAGAATAGGATCAATAGACTTCATTATCGGTGGATAATATCCTCGGACTGATTCCGTGATTTGTAGCCTCCAAATCGAAAGAAAATGGCATTTCGGATAAATCCCCCGAAATCTGTGATGGTACCCCTTTGGAATCTACCAAAAATTGACCCGGAATAAATCCGCCCAAATTGGTGCTTAATGGACTCAATCATCGTTGGAGAATAGCCTCAGGACGAATCCGTGATCTGTAGCCTTCAATATTCAAAGAAAATGGACTTTCATCGCCCAAGAAATTACAAAAATGCCATTTGAAAATAAATTGGCCCAAATCGATGCTTAACGGACTTATCATCCGTGGAGAATAGAATCAATAGACTTCATTATCGGTGGATAATAGCCTCGACCGGATTCCGGGATCTGTAGCTTGCAGAATCGAAAGGAAATGGCATTTCGGATAAATCGCCCAAAATCTGTGATGGTACCCCTTTGGAATCTACCAAAAATTGACCCGGAATAAATCCGCCCAAATCGGTGCTTAATGGACTCAATCATCGTTGCAGAATAGCCTCAGGCCGAATCCGTGATCTGTAGCCTTCAATATTCAAAGAAAATGGACTTTCATCGCAAAAGAAATTACAAAAATGCCATTTGAAAATAAATTGGCCCAAATCGATGCTTAACGGACTTATCATCCGTGGAGAATAGGATCAATAGACTTCATAATCGGTGGATAATAGCCTCGACCTGATTCCGGGATCTGTAGCTTCCAGAATCGAAAGAAAATGGCATTTCAGATAAATCGCCCGAAATCTGTGATGGTACCCCTTTGGAATCGGCCATAAATTGACCCGGAATAAATCCGCCCAAATCGGTACTTAATGGACTCAATCATCGTTGGAGAATAGCCTCAGGCAGAATCCGTTATTTGTAGCCTTCATATTCAAATAAAATGGACTTTCGTCGCCCAAGAAATTACGAAAATGCGATCCGAAAATAAATTGGCCCAAATCGATGCTTAACGGGCTTATCATCCGTGGAGAATAGGATCAATAGACTTCATTATCGGTAGATAATAGCCTCGACCTGATTCCGTGATCTGTATCTTCCAGAATCGAAAGAAAATGGCATTTCGGATAAATCGCCCGAAATCTGTGATGGTACCCCTTTAGAATCTGCCAAAAATTAACCAGGAATAAATCCGCCCAAATCGGTGCTTAATGGACTCAATCATCGTTGGAGAATAACCTCAGGCCGAATCCGTGATATGTAGCCTTCAATATTCAAAGACAATGGACTTTCGTCGCCCAAGAAATTAAGAAAGTACCATCCGAAAATTAATTGGCCCGAATCGAAGCTTAACGGACTTATCATCCGTGGAGAATAGGATCAATAGACTTCATTATCGGTGGATAATAGCCTCGGCCTGATTCCGTGACTGGAACCTCCAGAATCGAAAGAAAATGGTATTTCGGATAAATCGCCCGAAATCTGTGATGGTACCCCTTTGGAATCTGCCAAAAATTAACCTGGAATGAATCCGCCCAAATCGGTGCTTAATGGACTCAATCATCGTTGGAGAATATCCTCAGGCCGAATTCGTGATCTGTAGCCTTCAATATTCAAAGAAAATGGACTTTCGTCGCCCAAGAAATTACGAAAATGCCATCCGAAAATAAATTGGCTCAAATCGATGCTTAACGGACTTATCATCCGTGGAGAATAGGATCATTAGACTTCATTATCAGTGGATAATAGCCTCGGCCTGATTCTGTGATCTGTAGCCTCCAGAATCGAAAGAAAATGGCATTTAGGATAAATCGCCCGAAATCTGTGATGGTACCCCTTTGGAATTTGCCAAAAATTGACCCAGAATAAATCCGCCCAAATCGGTGCTTAATGGGCTCAATCATCGTTGGAGAATAGCCTCAGGCCGAATCCGTGATCTGTAGTCTTTTTTATCAAAGAAAATGGACTTTCGTCGCACAAGAAATTACAAAAATGCCATCGAAAAATAAATTGGCCCAAATTGATGCTTAACGGACTTATCATCCGTGGAGAATAGGATCATTAGACTTCATTAGGGATGGCAATAATATCCGTAACCGTGGATATCCGCCCGAATCCGACCTAATCGGGTAGGGTAAAACCCGAACCCGAAGGCCTTTTAGTGGGTACGGGTAAAACCCGAACCCGAATATAGCGGGTAATGGGTGGGCATGGTTTTCTCACTATCCAACCCGAACCCGCCCGATTATACACATGCATATGTATTTTTTCTAGAAATAATCAATATTTTTCTCTTACATATTTTATATTTAGCATATACATATAATAGTTTTATGAAATTGTGTTGTTTTAATTAATTTTCTTCATTCTAGTGAATTATTGTCGTACTTTTCGTCTTACGTAACGTGAGAATACGTGTCAATATTAACATATTGGTTGGAGTTATAAAGAGCAACTATTACCCATGGATAACCGTGGATACCCGAAACCCGAACGGGTATGGGCATGGTTTAGATTTTCTACCCGTTTCTTATGTGGGTATGGGTATGGGTAAAACCCGAACTAATCTGGGTAGGGTAGCGGATATGCACTATCCATCCCCGACCCGACCCATTGCCATCCCTAGACTTCATTATCGGTGGATAATAGCGTCGGGATGATTCCGTGATCTGTAGCCTCCAGAATCGAAAGAAAAAGGGATTTTGGATAAATCGCCCAAAATCTTGATGGTACCCCTTTGGAATCTGCCAAAAATTGACCCGGAATAAATCCGCCCAAATCGGTGCTGAATGGACACAATCATCATTGGAGAATAGCCTCTGGCCGAATCCGTGATCTATAGCCTTCAATATTCAAAGAAAATGGACTTTCGTCGCCCAAGAAATTACGAAAATGCCATCCGAAAATAAATTGGCCCAAATCGATGCTTAACAAACTTATCATCCATGGAGAATAGGATCAATAGACTTCATTATCGGTGGATAATAGCCTCAGCCTGATTCCGTGATCTGTAGCCTCCAGAATCGAAAGAAAATGGCATTTTGGATAAATCACCCGAAATCTGTTATGGTACCCCTTTGGAATCTGCGAAAAATTGAACCAGAAGAAATCCGCCCAAATCAATGCTTAATGGACTTAATCATCATTGGAGAATAGCCTCAGGCCGAATCCGTGATCAGTAGACTTCAATATTCAAAGAATATGGACTTTCATCACCCAAGAAATTAGGAAAATGCCATCCGAAAATAAATTGGCCCAAATCGATGCTTAACGGACTTATCATTCGTGGAGAATAGGATCAATAGACTTCATTATCGGTGGATAATAGCCTCAGCCTGATTCCGTGATCTGTAGCCTCTAGAATCGAAAGAAAATGGCATTTCGGATAAATCGCCCGAAATCTGTGATGGTACCCCTTTGGAATCTGCCAAAAATTGACCCGGAATAAATCTGCTCAAATCGGTGCTTAATGGACTCAATCATCGTTAGAGAATAGCCTCAGGCCGAATCCGTTATCTGTAGCCTTTAATATTCAAAGAAAATGGACTTTCGTCGCCCAAGAAATTACGAAAATGCCATCCGAAAATAAATTGGCCCAAATCGATGCTTAACGGACTTATCATCCGTGGAGAATAGGATCATTGGACTTCATTAT